TGGTCCGCTAGATGAAAATCCGTCCGCTATTTGAAAATCGCTCAGCTACTTGAAAAAAGGTCGGTGGGCAACTTGAAAATTGCTCCGCTACATGAAAATCGGTCGGCTACATGAAAATCGGTCGGTTACATGAAAATCGGCCGGCTATATGAAAATCGGTCGGCTATATGAAAATCGGTCGGCTATATGAAAATCGGTCAGCTACATGAAAATCGGTCGGCTTCTTGGAAATTCTTCTGCTATTTGGGTACATGAAAATTGATCGGTTACTTGAAAATCACGGTAACACAAATTATTTAATTTCTAAAGAAAACAAATAGGAAACTCTATGCACCCCAGTGAGCTGAAGATGATGCATTTGTGTCTCGTATTGTTTAAGTATTTTTAAATCTATATAACGGCATAGTGTAAAACTCGTATGTATATTTACTAAAATCTTGCTATACGTGACGTACAATGAAGAGTTTAAATTAATATCGAGTGCAATGACTTGACATAAACGCGTAGCTCTTTAACTTAACTTTGCGAAGAAATACTACGCGTGATAATTTACGCATGTTTTGCGATAACTTGCATACTAGTATATATTTTTCCCTGTTATTGTGATTAACACTATGGTTGTTTAAGAGTTAAAGGTATAGATCCATATTGTTTTGCAATTATAAGTTCATGTATTATTATCACCGCCGTAGATGGGATACACGTGTTCACGTGGTTTTGAACCTTCATTTGGTTTGTTTCTACTATTATAATACGATGTCATACAACTTCATCTATCTAGTACTCAAGTACCAATTCGATCTACGCATATATCCGGTTTGGCAATTGAGATTCTATCATCGTTTTTAATATCCAAAGTACATGATTAGTTTTTTTTTCATTCTTGAGTATTACAAATTATTATTATATACTGTCACGTTAGCGCCATAAGTTACAGCGTGCTGTATTTTTTGCGGTATTTTACGGGGTATTTTCATCCTACCATATTAGGAAATGCAAATTCCAAATATGGAATGATTACGCGCGCAAGCGTCCTCTAATGATAAAAACAAACATGGCTGTCACCAGGGTTCGCTGATTTTGTTCTAAACATTTTGGTTTTCGGCATGATTCCCATGATGTATTCTTGGAAGGAAAATATGTATAAGAATAAGGTTATTACGTGTATACCTCAAAGTATACACAACAACAGTACCAGGAGTATCGTCCGACGCGCAGCGGAGGTCGATGTGACGGCGTACTGTCTGAGTATTATCTTCGTAATAACCTTATATTATTATAGTTCATATAGAAATATTTTGTCTATACCACATAGTGTTTATTGGTAAATGTTGAGTCATGTAACTGAATTCTGTCTTTTCATTGGTTATAAGTTTTATAAATAGTTGGAGGGAGTCGGTGACTACCAGAATGTTCCAATGTGGAAAAATCTTACTCCGTCTCAACTGAAAACTGTGCACTCATGGTCGTACACACACACACTGCTACGACTCGTCTCAATTGGAAATGTTGTACCGGGGCACCGAGTTACTGACGTTATAGGACATATTTTTATAGATCCATTAGTAAGGCTGTTTTAACCAAACTTCCAAATCCATACCTCGTCATAGATCATTTGAAGGTGAAAAGTATATCGCATTTTAGATCAAATTATGATTGATTGTACCTCATTATAGAACCTAACATCGGTCATGATATGTGCATGGGCTTTATAAGCGAATTTCTTTTTTACGTTTTTCGCTTTCTTTTATATTTTAGAAATCATGTGTGCACGATACATTCACAACGTGATGATAGACCGAATTGTAGCGTGTAGGTAAGCTTTGTGTGTCGCGCCAAAATCGCACTCATTTCAATTATTTCAGATAACATATTGTTGTTTGTGCAATTAGTTTGGTTGACCGTTCTATCGTCTCAGCTTTGACAATCACCGATTTTTTTAAATAAGTCATAAACATTTGTGTGCCAGATTTACAACCCGTAGTTGCGAATCATGTGATATGATGGTCGGCATGGGGTATTTTTGTAAGCTGTAATCAATTTCGTAGCTGTAATTTCGTAGACATGAGCAAGGTGTAAAACTTAAACAGCTATTCTATTCTTCCGTAATTCGTACACAAATCCTGTTTTTTGTAAGTGTATAAACCAGTGTCCACATTAAATGTCATAATTCGTACGAAATTACAAACTTGTAATGGCTCATTTGAAGCCCGGTGTCATGCGAAGAATCTTCCGAGCGCTAAAACTTCCGGGTGAGGTCGTTGCACAAGCGCAGTGAAGTTCTTGAATTTTCTTCGCGGTGTAGTGGATTCTCGTAAATAATGTAATTTCGGATACACACACATGTTTTATATCTTGTTGATTGAATCCTTTCTGTTCTATATATTTAGTAATCTAAAATCTAAATAAATGTACAAAAGACTGTGTGTGGTCGAAACTATTTCCGGGGTGGCGGATGGTGGCCGACTGCCTCCCGACTTACATTTCATACATATTACAATAATTCATATTGAAATTATCTGTTGTTGGAAATCAAAGGATTTTCTGAAATACTGATACCAAAGGCCCTATTGCTGAAACTATCAGTAAATACAAATAGTACATTTATAAACAAGATACAACAACCTAGCGAGACCCACAGCTTGAACAAACACCAGATGTGTTATTTACTGAAGGATTATAAACGATTAATATTATTTTGCCTGGCGTTGTACATAACACGTGTCGCATTGTTTATGTAATTCAACTATTCCATTGTTTTACTAAATAAAATGTGAACAAGTTTTCTTTTCTAGTTTCCTTCTATTGATGATTCCACATACATGTCAAGCATGCCCACGTATAATTTTATTTTCCAAACATGAAAAAATAATGGCTAAGAATTGAGAATAGTTAATATCGTCACAAAAAGATCTAACAGAGATTAACCCAAGATACCTACATAACATGTACCAAATGAATTGAGCTGGTAGTTTTCAAGAAAACGTCGGAAATAGCAGTTTTGACATAAATGACTCAAAATATTCAAAAAAATACAATATCGAAAGAAAATCTAAGAGGTAGTAGTATATTGAACACCAAAACACTCAGGTTACTGATTTTCAAGACGAAGATGCTGGACAGGGCGGTCTGACACGTGTGTCAACATCCTTCCAAAATGCATTGCGCTGTTCATGTATTAGGGACTTTGCCATAGACTCTGATGTTTTGCGCTTCATTTATATTGCAAATAAAAATTGCAAACTACAAACATGATATTGAATATATAATGGTAGATGAAACCTTGTCTTACCACACATGAAATCAATCACGAGCCTTATCATTGGCATCTTTGATAGCATCATTTCAATCAGGGGCTGTAAGAAAACTATCCGTATTTGCATACGTCAGTTAGTAGTACGTTAGTATGAACCAGTTTTATGGTGGGCATGCAATAGACATAGAACACTAAGAAGCTCAAATAGTATAATACAAATATTACCACAAAACTCATAGACTTGTTCAATATTTGCTTCCATATTTTATTGTATTGTATTCATGACATTTATAATAATAGTGAAATAGTTATACATGATTAGAGACTTGAAGTGGATTATACGCAAATTCGCACAGGTGTGTGGTTATCGCTATAGTAGATGGAATTCAACATTGAGAATTTGGCTCTAGGACACTTCAACACTAAACAGGGTCCTAATTTCGGACACTGGAAGTCAATTAGACTTCCAAATACCCACGCCAGTCAAGACAGCCTTAATTATTAATTCTGAACCCTTTCCACTCAAAAACCGGGCAAGTTCAGATAACTCAAAAGTATTTATTTAAGGGTCCTTGGAATTGCAGCACTGGATCATAACCATAAAACCCAATAAGGGTGGCTTGGCATGAATCGTCAAACGCAGGCAATACAACGATTAAAAATAACATAAAAACTCACAAAATTCGAACATGGAGCATAATCATTTATTCACAGGTCAGGGTAAGGGATCTTTACTTAATGAGCAATGTCATTCAAAAAGTCCCTGATTTGCAACCGGATTATGTACCTTAGTTTACAATAATTTTCACAGCTCCATGTGCACACTATTTTGACTTAATAAATCAATAAGCCTCTTGAAAGCAATGTCGATTTCCCACAAGGCGATGACACAGCATGCAGTTTACTCATCAAAGAGGCAGTCAGTCCGATATAAAAAACGGTTTCCAGATGCCTCAATTAAGTCCGACACTTGACAAACCTTACAGTATTCACACCTAATCTCCCTTCAGCCCTTGACGTGAAGATTCTAGTTCAGCACTCAATTCTATTGCATCAAAAAGCACAATTTCTAGGAGTAAGTCATGTCCACGATGCGATCATTGCATTACTGGCGAGACACGGACAACCCATGCTCGAGGGATTTTTTTCCTTCGACCTTTGACCTTATCGATCTGAAAAGGTTTCTACTATAAATATACGATTTCAAATGATAAATCAATGATCTACTACATATTTAAAACCAAAACAGAATATCTAAGTTGTTAACAATGGGTCACTGAAAAAAACTGATTCCTTGTCTTCCAAACTCACCTACATATTTCTCACTATAGACGGCGATATACTCATATCTAAACAACGTGCATAATGCAGATAGGTCGACATAAACTTACCTGCCCAGAAAAAAACATACACACTATAAAACTAACAAATTAATGAATAATTTACATTATAACCTCGGTTACAAGAATAATAGCCATCTCTGGTCGTCTACTTAGGTCAATTGCATATATAACATATTGTTTATTTGCGGGTCCCAGACTAGAGTTTACTATAATTTGTGTAAGATTACCTAAGATAAACACACTTGGGAATATATTTTGAGACTAGGTCTGGTAATAAATGTTCAGTGTTATTTGTGCATATTTTTAAAATGTATTATGTTGTGAATCGTTTTAAATCAATCCAAATACACGACCATCCAAATTCAGGATATTATCACACACATATATTCTCATATTTGCAGCAAATATAGCACCGTGAAATTAAAAGGAACTCCAATAAAGTTAAATATATTGGGTAAGTATAAACAAATGAATAATGAATGAATGAATGAATGAATGAATGAATGAATTAATTAATTAATTAATAATTCATGAATGAATGAATGAATTAATAATAATGAATGAATGAATGAATGAATGTGTGTATTTTTTTTCCTTATTGCAGATGATGTCGTTAGTCCCCCACAACTGCCGATGTGTGGTCCCGATCTACCTATACCGTTATCAGATGGCTACTGGGAGAACAATACCACTTTCGTTCCTCTCGTTTGTCAGAGTAAACAGTGGGAACAAGAAGAAATTGACAAATGCTTAGCTGACACGGAGGTGCTTGGTGTTGGTGACTCTACCCTTGGTCCATTAACTAACGAGTTTATCAAATTCACCAGAAGTGTGGAAGAAAAACTTTCATTTCATGACCCCCAGACTTGCCGGCCCAAAAGTTCCGATTATGGAGACTGTATTCGAAAGCGATATGATTGATAAAATTACCAAAGAACAATGCCAATCCAAAAGGCCAATAGTGCTTCTAAATTTCTGTTTCCACTACGTGTCTTGGTCTACCAGAGCATATGTGGAACGTCTTGTGCGAGTGAAGCTGGCAGTGGAACGACTATTTCAAAGGTGTCCAAATTCGAAAGTTCTATTAAAATTAGGAAATGCGTGGTATAGCCTATATAAATCACAGAACATACACAGCAACAGCTGGATAATCTACGATATGAACAGAATACAACGACGCGTATTTGGTGGAACCGGCGTCCTCTTCCTAGACCCTTGGGATTTGACAAATTCGGCATTTCAGGAAAACACTATTCACATGGGACCTACGGTCCGACGTCAAGAGTCGTTTCTCGCGCTATCCTATGTATGTCCAGAAATGGCGATGATGCAGTAGTTTCAGCTGATAAATCACGAGTTTAGTAATTACTTATAGTATTATAGTATTAATTATTATTACATTAATGAAGCACCTCTGCAGTATGCAGTAACAAAACAATAATAGCCATGATCAAGATAATGTAAGACTAATTAATGCTAATGTGTTCATACGTGAATGCGATAATTGTATAGTTGCTTCAATCTTGTTTTTTTTTAATAAAAAAATTTGCACTATTAAGTTCAGGAAAACAAAATCTAGTGAATGGAAAATACGATTGCATTATCGGAGACGAATTATTACAATTAAAAAAGTAATAGTCAAAGAACCGCATAATGTACAAGGGTTGAGGCGAGCACATATATGGAGCATAACATATGCTTGAATTCATTATGGGGTGGCGGTTAGTTCATTATTATTATTTTGTAGCGTTGTCAATACCAGTTAATTTGATGCCAGTATAAAGCAGAAAAATCCATGGATAACAGAACTCTTTCAAAGTCACTGGACCTCGAATCTACATAATTTAAAAGGTCAGTCATTTGCATTGTGTTGAGCCGCATACCCGGGTTTACCCAGTCACAATCTGATTAAAATCAGATCCATTATTCGTTTCCAACATCTGCGTATTCGTTTCTATGGTTCGGGGCTTCAAGGGTCAATAATGGATTACATTATTGAAATGATTCTGCAGCAACAACACCATAAAATTGACTGTTATTGACAATGCGATAATATAATAATCAATATTGTCTTAGTTTAGTAAAATATAACGATATTACAGTTCAAACAAAACACAATGAATTAACACAAAAAGTGATGTTGTCACATAATGCGAGAAACAAAATAATTATACATTTATCTTTGTAAAAGGTACCCATCAGCTTGAGTTTCAGATAGTACTGTGATATACAAAAAAGCAATACCTAAGTTAAACAATGAAATGAATAAATAATATTAGGACGTCCTTACTCAAACTGAAACCCGTCCTTGCCATGAAGTGTTTACCACGTACAACAACCTTGTGGAAATGATGGTTGGAGGATAGAATTCTGCATTTGTCCCGGGTCTATTGTTTGTATCCAACAGCCAATTGTTATAAATTTGTTAGATGTAAAGAAAAAGGTAGAAATTGCACTTTGAACTTGATTGATCTGAGATTGTGTTAGCTGTCGACTCTTGTATAGCATTTGACAGTGTAGAATCAGCTTTTATATTGTCTGCACTAAAATCTTTTAATTTTCGTCCATCACTGTTGCAATGGATTCACACACTGTATTTAAATCCCATCAGCTAAGCCATTAATGAGGAGGCATATTCTCGTATTTGTTTTTATTCCCTACAAACACATCTAATTCATATCCGATCAAAGAAGAATCTGTTTAGGGCAGTGAAATTATAAATTCCTCATTCGCCAATGACCTACTTGGACGAGTTCTCTATTGTAACACTCTTGCCACTTATGATCAGGACATAAATTGTGATAAAGCAGATGGACTGTGGTTGGGATGGTGGCATAATCGTGGAGATATTCCGCTTGGGAGTATGACCAACATCATCAATCACAATTTTATATATATCCCTCTGGCGCGACTTTCTTAATGAATAGGATCAATTAATGTCTCTCCCACCATCTACCTGTAAAACAAACTTTGCTTGGTGACCCA